CCATCACACGCTACGCCGCAAGGTACCGCACGACGTCGCATCGCTCACGGAGAGCCACACGAACACGGGAATCCGAATTAGTGCCGTCAATTGAGCATAATCGGAGGTAAATTCCCTGTCGTTGTAGGCTAAGATTATTACGTTTATTAAGCTCGATTTTCAGTTTAGGCGTTCATGCGTGTTATGTGTGTGGTAAAGGCCGTGCGAGAAGCCGTGCCGAGTCATGTCATGTTCTAAGTTGAATTCTCCGATCCATCCTCGCATATTTAGCTTTTATATGCAATATCATGTTTAGATTAGCTTAAGTGTTCGGGTGATTAGTCATGTTTTGCGGTGTTTCGGCCGAGGGGATGTGGTCGCACATATAGTGCGCACCACGGGCCGTACGCGTGTTTGTTGCATGTCAAGTTCAATCCCTTGAGCACTTTGTATCTTTAGGTTCAGTAAGTTATGTTCATGTTCAGTTCAATATGATTTGCCGAGAAAAAATGAAATTCAGTCGTGAAAGCGGCTTAACGCCGTCGGCGGCGCACGGTGCGTCCGCCGCGGCCAAGTTCCATTTATTGGGAAAACTTCATGTTTTCAGTTTAAATCTGTTCATGAGTTCATGATATGCCATTTGAGGTCAGTATGTTCGGGAGTTGTCAGTGATAAGTAAAAATTATATATAAAAATTATAATTAAAAAATATTTTATTTAATGATATGTATCACATTTATTATTGAATTATTAGTTATTACATTAAAGATTCTTAGTTGATTTTTTATACTTCGAAAAAAAAAAATTAATATAAATGTAGAATTTACCATATATTGATGACTAATATTGTATAATATAATTGTTGATATCCGAGTTGGTCAGGATCGAACAGAAAAGGGTCTAGCTCGAAACCCGGACTAGTAACCCGAAAAGTTGATGAGTGCCTAGCTGAACTAGGACTTAGATTAACCAGGGAAACAAATTCCGTTGTTCGTGAGACCGGCACTTCGACCAGCCGGCGCGGGGCCGACCTCCACAGGAGCCGAGATGACGTGTAGGTTCCCGGAGATCGTGGGATGAACAAATGTTTAAGAGCCGCCTGAAGATTTTCGCGTGGCCGCCTCTCAGATAAGCGCGGTACAAGGAAATGATATAATAATGCCACTTGGCAGCTAATGACAATCGATGGGTCAAGCTGCCCTAGCCTGACACCCTATGGTATCTAGGCCGACAAAAAGCCTGTCAACATTAAATGTCCACCATGTGTACATTAAATGTCTGACAGGTAATGATTGAAGAAAACCTCAAATCGCATTGAATAACTGTCAGAGCGGCACCGGTCTGCCCTGCAGAAGTACTGTGCGACAAGACCGGTGAACAGTGCCAGACTTAGAACACTATAAATAGAAGTGTAACACCCCACCTTACTAGATAAATCAGAGTAGCGCATTTATTCGCAAAGTCTTTGAAAACTAAAACATTTTTACTTTGCGAAACTGATTTGGGGTGCTACCGTGA